CAAATTGTTATAAACCTTTATGGTTATTTTAAAAAAGAAGGAACTTTTTACCTTCTACAGATCTCCTTCCTCCTCTAATTTAATACATTAGTTAATGGTGAAAAAGGATAGGTGTTCAAAAGGTAATGTCTAAAAGGCCTGCAAGGCCCTAGCTGGTTTGCTTCAGTGGATAGAGTATCAGCCTGTGGACTGAAAAGGTCCCAGTTCAATTCCCAGTCAAGGGCATGTACCTTGGTTGCGGGCACAATCCCCAGTAGGAGGTGTGCAGGAGGCAGCTGATCAATGTTTCTCTCTCATCAAATGTTTCTAACTCTCTATCCTTTCTCCCCTTTCTCTCTGTAAAAAAATCAATAAAAATATATTTTAAAAAAATAAAAATAAAATAAAATAAAAGGCCTGCAAGGGTGACCAATATTAAGTACAAAAATAAGTAAAAATACAATAATATATCTGTATCTACAACTACATTTACATCTATATACCAGAATACTTCTGAATAGGTATGTAAGAAACAAAAAAAAATATTGACTGTCTCCAGGTGGCAGAACTGGATAATTTGGGATGAGCTGATAAGGAAACCATTCATTACAAACTTTTGTGCTTTTGAATTTTGTGCAATGTGAATGTATGGCCTATTCAAAAAATTAGCAGATATTTAAAAATGTAAATTAAATCAAGAGACATGCTAAATCAATTAGATAACACCACACAATTAAACATAAAGTCTACTTTTCTAGTATTTCCAAATATACTGTTCAAGGAGGAATAAACTCAGCTTTAAAGAAAACTTGTTTCTGAAGGTTATTCATTTGTTCCTCTAGTAAGTATGTAGGAACTTTAGCTGAGTATTGGGAGTTCAAAAGCGAGCCACAAAGATAAGGTTCTTATTCTCACCAATCACACACATTTTTATATACTGCCTTGAAATTATTTCATAGTCACTTCATGTATGTGTATCAAATCCTCCAACCAATTTAGAGTGGTTGTAGTGTAGTCTCTACTTTAAGAATTCTAGGTGATATTTCCCTTGATAAATTCTTAAGCCCATGTAGTTGATTTCCATTCCCTGCCAGGCCACATGAGCTCGCCACTCATGCTCTGGAGGCTAGAACAAAGAGACGGATTTTATCTCAATGTAGGGCTTAGGACTCCTCATGACACCTATTTTGAAAAACCACAATTGATCTCTCTTGTGTGCCCTAGCTTGTCCACAGCGCTCCTCTATCCTGCTCAGGCAGGTCCCCTTAACAGTCCTGCCACACTTTAACTAGCGTTAGAGACCAGTGCCCACAGGGCTCACTCCAACTGAAAGGACTTCATCTCTTTGTGTTCAAACTCTCTTCATTCTTTAGAGTCTATCCCATACCCATGCCCACCTCTGATGAACTCTCCTTGACCTCTCTACAGTCCTGATGTTTGCTCCACATTATTTTGATAAACGAACTGTCTCTTATTCTATAAATATTATAGAGGTTTATGCCTCATTTTGCCAAGAACAGGCTAAGCTCCTTGAGATCAGTGCTTGGATCATAGTATCTTTTGTGTCCATATAATACATAGTACAAGGTTGAGTTCATTTATTGAATTAAATTTAGTCTGGGAAAATAAATGACAACTTAAAAGTGTCCCTCAAGGGGGAATGCAGAGCTGTGTTCCAAAGAGATACTGTAAACCCGAAGGTTTTATCACAGGGACTGTGCTCACCTTGGCCTGCATTTCACACAGGTGGGCCATGAGCTCATCCAACTGAGCAGCTGCTGAGGTTTTGGAATGTGGCAGTGATTCATTTGGCTCTTGGATGTCACTATAGGGAGAAAACAACACAAAAAAAATCATACTCAAAACTCAAATAAATGTAAGCCACACATAAAGTACTAGAAAATGTAGTTTTAGCTATTAAATGCTTAGGTGTCAGTAAAACTAGAGACCGAGAGAGTATTTTAAAATACATATAGGTACCAGACTAAAAATGTGTCTCCATGTTCCTGCTCTGCTCATCTCAAAAAGTGATTATTGTTCTCAAGTGCATGAAGAAAAGCACTGGACGTATAACTGGCAGGCCATTCGCCCCCAACAGCCACATACAAAGCAGGCTCTGCAAAGTGCTTTAAGACCTTGGCCCAAATGTTTGTTTTTATTTTAATAGCATTCTTTTACAACGTTAAAGTATTATATCTTCTCTCAGTTAAGGTCAGGTGAGAGACAAAAAAAAAAAGAGAAACTAGAACAGGCATTCACCCATAAATTGAGGTCTGTGGGCCAAATTCAGCCATGCCCATTCATACTGTCTATGGTATAGCTGTTTTCCTACAGAGTTGGACAGCTGTGACAGAGAGAGATCTTATGGTCCACAAAGCTAAAATATTTGCTATTTCTCCTTTACAGAAAAAGTTTGCAGACTCTTGATAGTTTAGATAATGTGCATAATGTTGATAGATTATGACTAAATTATTAATAAATAAAAATTTGAACCAAAGACACAGAACAGTTTATTAAAATACTTGCACAATTTGGCAGGCCGGCATGGCTCAGTGGTTGAGCATTGACCTATGGACCAGGAGGTCACGGTTCAATTCCTGGTCAGGCCATATGCCAGGGTTGCGGGCTGGATCCCCAGTAGGGGGGCGTGCATGAGGCAGCTAATCAATGAACCTGTCCCATCATTGATGTTTCTATCTCTCTCTCCCTCTCCCTTCCTCTCTAAAAATCAATAAAAATACCTTTTAAAAAATACTTGCACAATTGTGTGTGAGAGAGAGAAAGAGAGAGGGAGAAGAGGAAAATGGAGGAGGAGGAGAAGAAGGGAAAGGGGAAGAAGAGAAAGAGAGAAGAGAAGATAAAGACAAAGGAAATGTGTTTAAAAATAACATGGCTAGGTAGTGTTTATACTAGTCATACCAGGATGGTTCCACATTACTAATGGATTAATATAATCTTTCATAATAAAAGCATAATATGCTAATCGACCAAACGGCCGAACAGCAGAACAACCATCCGGATGACCATCCAGGACCATGTTATGACACCCAATGGCACCAGGCCAACCAAGGTGGGTGCGATGCGATTGGTCAGGGGCCCGGCCATCGCCCACGACGCCCGCAGAGAAGGCCCAGGCCACTGGCCAGCAGGTGATCAATTGGGGGGCTCCACGG